ATATATATATATATATATATATATATATATATATATATATATATTTACACACATGTAAGCGTACTCTATTGAGACCAACGTTGACCCTGGAAAGCAGTCCCTCTGTCTCATGGATCTGTATCGTTTTCATCGAGTGTGTTTTTGCTAGTAGAATAGGTAATTGTACAGCGTCGTGTCTCCTGGAACGCTCACCGGATCGAGAAAACGATCAAACATCGAAAGTGCACTTGAGACATGTAGGTATTCATGTGTCCTGTGACAGAGTGTGTGCGAGCGAACGAACGAACGAACGAACGAACGGTTCAGTCAGTTCGAGATGTTTAGCACGGATGACAATGAGAACCTCGACGATCTATCCACTTTATCCCTTGGCAACGCCTTATGTCTGCATAAAAGGCTGAAAATCGTCGGAGAAAGCGGCGGCGACTGGCGATCCGGGTGTGCGAGTCGCAATTAACACGACTTTGCTCTGCCGACACTCGTGATGCGCCGTCGATGCGAATTATGAGTCAAATGGTGTCGTAGTGTGTTTCGTCAAGTCATACGTAGCGATATATATACATGTACATATATATATATATATATATATATATATATATATATATACATACATACATACATACATACATACATATATATATCCCGAGTGACCGATAATGCAATCAAGTGTGAAACCACCAGCCCTCCAATCGAGAGAGATCCACACACGTTTGTCGCGCACATCTCACTACCGGCGTACTACCGAGAGAGAAGTAGTACGCTGATAATCTCTATATAAGTATAGTTAGTTATAGATAGTACTAATGACAGTTGTCGATACAGTCACGTCACGCACTCAATGGGTGTACTCTCTCTCTCTACACTTCTAGCAGAGCCTCTCACAAAGTTCCGTTTAGCGTTCAATTAAGCGCGAGCCACCCCCCTCCCTCCCCCCAAAGGCGCGTAGCGTAGCGACGACGAGCGAGAGCGTAAGTTGAAGTATATCATTTTTTCCATTTATAATTCTATCTTTCTTTTTGATATCCCTAAGATTTTAGCGTAGCATGCCAAAAGAAAGAAAGAAAGAAAAAGTAGATAGAAACGTAGTTTGCAGCAAATAAAACGAAGAGGCGGTACTCAGTCTTGAAGTCGCATTCGTCTCGATGACGTGATGAACACGAGAGAGAGAAAGGGACGCGCCTTCCACGTCGTGCTCGTCTCGTCAGGGTGGTCATTCGCGTTGTTCATGTTACTTCGCCGTCGAGAAATGGACTGATTACTGTCATCTACCTTTAATTACTCTCAATGGTATCTGCGTTTAGACTAAAAGTGCATGCGTTCAAACAGTTTCTCTGGGGTATGTTTTTTCAACTTATTTATCTATAATCTTCTCTTTCGTATATATACATATGATATATTTATATATCTATATATTTATATATTATATGTATGCGATGTACAAATTTGTATATTACTCTATAATATATAAATTTGTATATTATCTTTTATAATATATTTACTCTATCTCGTACACTAAAACACTACACTTTCAGCGTGAGTTCTTCTTATCTCAAACTGAATGAGGTGTGTTCTCTCTCTCTTTTACAACTTTCGTCGAAGGCTTGCGGGAATCGTCCCCCTCGCTCCTGCGGAATAATATTTTTCTTTTATGATTTTTCCTTTCTCCTTCCCGCATTTTCTATACCTCTCTTTCTCTATTTCTCTCTCTCTCTCTCTCTCTCTCTCCCCTTCTCTCTCTCTCTCTTTCTCTATTTCATCGCACCCAGTTCTCTCGCGCGGTAATCTGATTTTCGGCTTGCAGAGTCCTCGTGCTTTGTTTTTTCTATTACAAATTATGGGCAACGTTCGAGACGAGTGAGATCGTTTTCGCGCGCGACCTTGGACAAGCTTGTGCGAGTGACAAAAAAAGTCAAAAAAAAATGAGAAATTTTTCGCACAAAAGTGCAATTTGATTTCGCACTCGACGAGCGCCGTAAGCCAGACAGATTCTTCATTTTTCTCTCCACGACGTTTTCTCCGATTTTCCGAAGAAGTTTCTTTTCGTTGTGCCATACCTCATACTTTCCGTAATAGCATTGAGCGACGAGTCGCGGATCTACCTGCTAAATATGTGATTTTGAAAACCGCAGTTGGTCTCCGAGTCTGCGAATGGCAGGCGAAACCGGGCAGTTGAGGGACTTCATCGAAGATCTCGGACCGGGCCAAGTGGTCGGGAGGCAAGCTCTCGGCGCCCGTTGCCTCGGCGAGATCCAATTGTCGTTGAACCAGAAGAAGGGATACCTGGAGATCGAGGTCATACGTGCCAAAGACTTGAAAGCGAAACAAGGAAGTAAAGTGATCCCAGGTAGGTGGCCCAGTTATTCCGCAATATTTATTCGAGGCGGTATTCGTGCCGAAATATTCATGCGGAAAAAACTATCAGCTCTGTCAGTGAAGCTGAATTTTCTCTTACTTGGGGACCAGATAAAACACTCGATTATAGGAAGGATTCCTCTGTAGGAGATTTCTCTCAGCTTTCAGCTAATTGCTTTCAGTCACAGTAACGGAGACATACACTGGGAAAAAATAATGGTTGATCCAATTAAAGTTGAAGTTATTTTTGGTCTCAACCATATGTTTTGTAGTATAATGATAGTAACACGTCCACATAATACTATTATCACTAACATTGCAGTAAAATTTAATAAAAAATAGTTTTCTCTTGACCACAATTTATAGTGATTATTTCTTTTTCACAAGGAAACTCACATAAGTGTCCGCCTCCGATTTTCATGAACTTGTAATATGTTGTACTTTAGATCAAAATAACAGGTACGTTTTTTATCATATGTGCCCTTTCGCAAGTTTAGGGGGTGAAGTACCCCTTTGAAGAAAATCGTTTTTTCACTCGAAGGAAATGTAATGAAAACTATAAAAGATAGAAAAAAATATTTTTAATAAAAGTTGAATGGTTTGAAGAGTATTTTACAGAAGTTAAATATAATAATTATAATTATAATTATACAATAATTATAGTAAGAAGTGGGGAAAATATTAACAAAAAAAATTTTTTTTTTCAAATAATTTATGTAATAATTTATGTGAAGTACTCTTCAAACCATTCAACTTTTATTCAAAATATTTTTTTCTATCTCTTATAGTTTTTATTACATTCCCTTCGAATGAAAAAAATCGATTTTATCAAAGAAGTATTTCACCCCCTAAACTTGCGTAAGGGCACATATAATAAAAAACGTATCTGTTATTTTGATCTTAAGTACAACATATTACAAGTTCTTGAAAATTGGAGGCGGACACTTGTGTAACTTTCTTTATCAGTATGTTATTTGCTGTTAGCGAATGTTTTGTCTGGTCCCAATTCGGTTACTCGAATTGAAATCTTTCGTTCCGTGCCTCGGATTACACATAACAAGCGAGTATTCACGTCGGCTTTGTTTACTTTCGCAGCTCCTTACGTGAAACTCTACGTGGTGAACGGCAAACGATGCATAGCGAAAGCGAAAACCATGCCGGCCAGGAAAACGCTGGACCCGTTCTATCAACAATTGTTGGCTTTCAAGGAGAACTGTCGGGGTTGTATATTGCAGGTGCGCGACCAGAAGACAAGGGTCGATTGTATTTGCGAATTTTTTTACAAAAATCGAGCAGTCGCTCGTTCCACAGCGCGATCCCACTTGGATCGCGCGTTTCATGTAATCGCGAGACGATGCTTTACGCGTGCTTTCAGGTGACAGTGTGGGGTGACTACGGCCGGTTAGAAGGGAAAAAAGTGTTCATGGGTATTGCACAGATCGTATTGGATGAACTGAACCTCAATGACCCGGTGATCGGCTGGTACAAGCTGTTCGGCACCACATCCCTGGTCAGTGGACCTCCATCCCTTGCTTTGTCCCGTCGATCTTCGGCCACGTCTCTCGATTCTTTTAAAATCTAAGAATAACTTTCCCGACGACATCACCGAATTATACATTCCTTTTATACGTAACAAGAGAGGGGGATGGTACTTTTGAGTTTTACTCGCAGTAGCGGAGCAAAGTAGAGTAAAGAGGAATAACACACACGGCTGAGTTACTCTCGGGTTCTTGATCTCGCGGTTGCACTCTCTACCTAGTCTCGCTTCTACCATTACTAAGCTAAGATACCGAAAATGCACGTGTCTCGATGTATAAGGTAGTGTCACATATATCGACCAGATCGAGATTAGAGATTGAAAGTGGAAAATCGTAAAGAAAAAAAAGGAAAAAAAAGGTCGTTTTTATTGTGTTAAGTGACCATCACGCGGCTCATCGCTCGATGATATTATACGTAATAGTGTGTCGAATGTAACATATATAAATATATTAGAGGACAAACTGTCGAGAGAGATTAATCTCTAACCGCTGTATTCGCCGTATCGAAGTTAAGGGAAATATCGTAACGATTCTTCGTAATTATATCATAACGTCACATGCCGGTATTCCTCGTTACGGTCCGCGAAAACCTTGGGAATGATTCTCTGCACGCGCGCTCCGTGTATTCTCCCCCGGCCGTCGATGTTCGAGCCTAAGACTGCTTGAGACTTGCGAGTCGCAAGCGTGTATCGACTCCGAGTTACGGTGGAGTCTCGCGGTTTCGCGGATTTCCGCTCCCGTTAGTGGGTGGTACAGAGCGCGAGAATGAGTAGATTGTTGCGGATGTATGCGCGAGAGAATTTCCGCGAGACCGGCGCGCAGTCGAAGTGCGAGGCGCGCTCCTCTTCGCGCAAGGATCGAGATGCGGCAATGCGAACGGAGCGAAAGAACGGATATGTCTTTCTAGAAACACCACTAGTACATCACATATCATGTACGGCATATCAGACGAGCCACTAGTCTGTATGTAGACTAGATGTAGACGTAGCAGCCATGTTCCCGGAGCGCCAGATAGTTTTAGGTATGCACTGAGATCAAGGCATTTCGTAGATAGTTTGGACAACGATTTAACGTGGGTACACATAAAGAAAAGACGATGATACGAAGGAGAAAAGAGAAAAGAGTCGTGCGACGATTGCGACGCCTGTTTCGCGATTGTCCGAAATACACGGCGATATCGCGGCAACAGTCTCGTGATTAACTCAGACACGACGAGAGACTTCGATGAGGAGCGCGGCGACGTAGCGCCGTCTCGACGTCTCTCTCGCGTGGCTCTCCGCCGGAGCTTGTACTCGAGTACCCATGTGAAATCTTGGTGCATTTGTTGTTGCCAATATCTTTCTCTTCCATCTCCATTCGTTCTGTATTGAAGTATCTCCTACTCTTTTCTCTCTAAAAGTGTTTCTGCCCTGCGTGAGAACGCAGAACGGCGAAGTACTGCATTCGATAACCGCGGGAAGCGACGAAACGCAAAAAAACCGCGTTATCGCGTGCATTATCACGAAGCTTCGCCGTCCCGCGATTACCCATTTGTCTGTATATCTTGACTTTATGCCCTTTCCGAACTTTGTAGAAGCGACGTGCCTCCTTCTACGACAACTGACACGTCGCAGAGAACGATTTTCCATTGGTATCTCTGGATTTTTTCTACCTTTGCACTCTATAATATTTTTCCTAGCCCTAGTAAGAACAATTATCATATCCATTTCCTGATATTGCTTTGTACACACACATACACACACTGCCTTATTAACTCTGAAATTTTGCACCACGCATTTCATTCTCTCATTGACTCGTTCGTCTCTTTTCTTTTTTCTTTTTTTTCTTGGAAACTCATATAAAGAATCGTGGCATTTTTAGTACATTGCAATTTGTCGACAAAAAAAAAAAAAAGATATAGAGCAATTAAGCGAAGGTAAGTCTGTGCCGTGTATTCGGAGCCCTATGTATTCTCTTGTAAATTTTTTTCCGAGATGTTTTTGAGACGCCAGTCAGTTTGGAATATTGAATGGTGCCGAGAGAGATCTCATCTCTAGCAGGATACGCACGGAAGCTCACACGTGCACCCTCCTCGACTTTAATGACGCGCGAGAGCGTCTCGCAGATTCTTGTGTGGGGATCTTCATCATTCAGTATTTCACACGACAGATACAACGCCTCTCGCACAACGCATCTCGCGTATTCGCAAGCGAGTAACGCAGACGTTTGTTTTATTTGCAGTGAAAACAAACCAAATCGAGCCAACACGGGCCAGATGTGAACTCAAATGTGGTGTACTAGGTAACATAAGATGTGAAACGCTATCACGATGACACTCAGTTTAACGGTGAATCTAAATGATTAAGTGAGTAAGCGAATTGCGGAGTGAAAATTGCCGGGGTGAGACGCGCTCCGGACCGGACTACGGTTCAATCGACGTGCGGGAGAAATTAGAGAGGCAAGAGAAAAGGCAAAAGAATATGTTGAACAGTATATATACATATAAATATATTACATATATTTATGGAAGCCGTTTCCAAACTTTGTATATAATTTAGGACCGTTCAAATACTAAATGCCGATCTCCGATACGACTCGGCCGAAGGACATTTTCAAATTTCTAGTCGAAAATGTCATTGTCAGAAAGAAAGAGAGAGAGAGAGAGAGAGAGAGAGAGAATGAAAAAGTGAATAAAAGAGTGAGAGAAAGAGTGAGAGAAAGAGAGAATGAAAGAGAGAGAAAGAGAGAGAGAGAGCGTATATTACTTAATGTAAATAACGTAATAACTATACATATAAATTTGCGATAAAGAAACAAAGTGCGCGTTGGTTTGAATGGGTGAACACGTTTGCGTTGTATTCTCGTTGACTCATTACGGTTTCCACGACACGATCGCTGCCTTGATTTTTCCGCACTCTACGTTGAACTCGGTCTGGTTTTGTCGAATTTAATTTCATTGCTCTTGAAATTAGCGTCGGAACGATTAGAACGCGCGACGACGTGATTGATTGTGAACACAAATTTCACTTTCGTTCCTTTCCTCCTTCCGCGTTTCTTTCTCCCACCGGCACTCACCCATCGATCATCGTATCATCACCGCGTTACTTGGCTTCTCCGAGCTTCGTTTAGTGACTTATCCGAGAAAAATAAAGTAAAGTAAAATAAAATAATGGCAAACTTGTTATTGCGATATAAAAAACGCGGAGCGGACGTGTATGTACCATACTCCTCAAGTACGAAGCAGACTGATAAATCGATTCCTACGCATCAAGTTTTTTCGGCCGCTTACGTTGAATTAGCAGTCCGCCGGGACGAACGTCGCGTTTTCGCATGCCTGGACAATTGCGGATTAGCTACGTTCGATAAAAGCTTCGTTCGGAGACTTCATTCACGTGAATACGCAACGGCCGGCGCCTACTCGCCAGTTTGCCAGACAAATTCGAGACAGAGGGAGAAGAAAAGAATTGAGAAAGGAGAAAACAAACCGCCCACAATGTAACTCGCGTGAACGGGACACGGTCGCGGCAAAAATTCTGTTTCGTACTGATTTTGTATAAAAGAAAAAAAAGAGACAAACCAGTAAATATGCCATTAAACGTTTAAGAGGCTTTGTAAATCTCTGTAAGAAGTGCGTAAACGCTTGCGATCGATTTTATATCTTAATTATCTATACTATGTGTTCGATCTCTTTCTTCGTGCGTACCTCGGACACTCGCGAAGACATATTTTCAGCGAGCATGAAGATATATACGAAACATCTATGAATTAGTAAACAATTACATTTGTGCCCTGTGCGTGAGAAAAAAAGAGAGA